GTGGTGGCTCGCCTTAGATACCCACTCTCATGCATGAGGGAGCGGTTTCGAAACTTACCAACAGCAAGTACTGAAGTACCAACGTGACTTTTTCCGAGCTATAATATGTAGGATTATTTAAACACCACTGACAAACGGTGAAGGAAAACATCGAGAGGAAACCTGGGCTTAAAATTTATAATTATAAATTTGAAATCGCATTGAGCTAGCGAGGTGATTAACGATCAGACCTTCTCCGTATGAGAAGAATCCTGTGGTCAGCAGTGGGCACTTACAGGCTGTTGATGTGATGATGATGGGATGTAATATTGAGAATTTCTATTTATAAAGTTATTTTTTTATGTTATATTCATTAAATGTCCTTTGTGAGGAAAGTTCTTAATACAACTGTTGTATTATGTAAAAACGAATATGCATAAACAAAAAATAACATCAAAATACTATCAACATAGAACTTATAACATAATAAGTTTACAACTTCCTAGTAAAAACTATAGCATCCAACATCCAAGCCATTTTCTATGTAAATTCGCCAAAAACATACAAATAATATTAGGAACTCCTTGGAGGTTTACCGCATGTAGTTTTATCGATAAGTCCCAAAAGGTAGAGGTCTAAAAATTCCACTAACTTAATGCTAAGTTTTTTTTGGGAACCGTATTAGGACCTATGTAGATGATAGGTCCCTGATGAATAAGGAACTTTTTGGTATCGTCAAAAATATTTACCTAGTATAGTTTTTTTTTCTCAAGGGAAATGTGGCTAAGATTATGTAGGTAGGTAGGTTGGTTTTACGGAAATTTCTTCCTCTTTGGTAGGTAAAAAAAGGAAAAGTATGTATAGGCAATATGATTGTAGCCACAAAATTGTCACAGTGAGAGTTTCATTTTATTTTGTGTCCATTCATATACAATGCTACAAAGGGTAGCCACATAATATTTGCATAGCAAAATTACAGAGATTTCGGATGTTGACAAACTTAATATTTTTAATGGGATAAGTTGGTAGACGAGTAGACAGATCACTTTTAATTACGCCTCCAGGAACCTCGGTCACGAAACACAAGCGTTGTTTCACGTCGGTCTTCTGCTCGGCCGTGGTATCACTCCGGTCGAGCCAGCCCATTCGTGCCGAAGCATGACTCTCCCACAGTTTGTTAGCACTGGCAGTATAATCCCCGAATACGTTTAACAATAAGATAATAGACAGAATTTATTTCGTAGATTATAATCACCCCAAGGATTGAAAATACTGCAAGTAAAAAGTCGTTGTACTCTGAGCAGGTTCATCACTGTCTGCCATTTAAGGAAGTAATTCCCAAGCCTTTAATTTAACACATTTTAAGGCTCATTTTCTACATAATAAGCAGCCTACATGATACATTTAGGCGATAATACCACGTCTTCTCTAATTAAATCAGATTCCCATGACAAAATTATGTTGACATTGGATTATTTCGTCCTTTGCTCCATTTGAAGGTCACATAAGGTTCAATGTAAAGATTGAACCTCTGCTTGTTTATTTACTTCGTGAATCGGGATTAAGAAATATTGTTTGATCTTCATTAGATGGATTAAAAGGGGTTGATCATGATGTTTGATAATTTGAAACATTAAGAACATTAAATAAAGTGATCAAGAACTCGAGGGTCTACCGAGGAGCTATATTGATTAAAAATTGCTACACAATAGTATCAGTTTGTGCGTATGATTTGCATGTTGAGCCGAATATTTTTTTTTTTATTTTTCTTTATTTTAAAAGACTTCATGCACACACTAATGTACAAGGTGGGCTTAATGCCTAGGGCATTCTCCTCCAGCCATACCTTTGGATGATGCTGAGACAAAAACAATGGTCGATGCAAGAAGTAAGCGTATTTAAAACTCAACAGAAATACATAGAAAAACGGATAGTATAGACTTACATAAAATAAATCCCTATATAAACTTACATGTATATGACATAACAATAAACTGACACAATTATATTACATATACTACTTAGACGTAACATAATTATACATAGTATATTGATAGTTACGATTCTGCCAACCTCCTCAAAAGTAGCTCCCGCACCTTCCGCTTGAATGACAAACGACTGGGCACCATCCTGATATATTTTTCAGGTTGTTGACTTGTTAATCGTTATATACATTTACACTATAGTCTCAATATAATAGAAAACAAGGCCGTGATATACGAATTATCAAATTCCGATCTGTAGTTCTGGAGATTAGCGCTATATAAGATTTCATTACTTTCACTTAGTCGTGGTGGCCCGAAGGTTTAAGACGCCCGCTTTTCTTCTCATGTTTGAGGATGCGGGTTCGAAACCTACCAACGGCAAGTACCAATGTGACGTTTTCCGAGTTATATGTACTTTCTAAGATTATTCAGACACCACTGACAAACGGTGAAGGAAAACATCGTGAGAAAACCTGGGCTTATAATTTGTAATTATAAGTTTGACATCGCCAATCCGCATTGAGCAAGCGTGGTGATTAATGCTCAAACCTTCTCCGTGTAAGAAGAGGCTCAGCAGTTATAGGCTGTTGATGATGATGAATATTTCATTTTCAAAATGAACTAGTTATTTCGTCAATGGAATCGGTAATAGACTAGCATAATCATTTGTTTTTCTATATGTTTACTTTGAAATCGAAATCCCACAGATTCCTTCAACCTCATTCACCTTTAATTAAACAGTCAATCACGGACCCCTATAAGGGTCTTACAGACCCTGAATAGACGGTGTTTTCTTAAAATTAATGTACCATTATTAGACACGGGTTTCCGAGTGAGGTGGCTTTTATTGCAGGGTTAACAAATACCCCTAGCTGCCTTGTTTATTGAATGCAAAAGGTTAGATCGCTTGGTATTTAACTAGTTGAGAAAATGAGATCACGCCTGTACTTGAAACTCTTGAGGGTTAATTAAAATGGTTGCTGTTTTCTTATTCGAAAATTACCTTTAAGTGTGTGAGAGCCATGCTTCGACACGAATGGGCCGGCTCGAGCGGAGTGATACCACGGTCTCACAGAAAACTAACGAGAAACAACGCTTGCGTTGTGTTTCGTTGTTTGATTGAGGTTACCGGAGGCTCAGTTACGACCCCCCTAATCCCTGAATCCCCAACAATCCTTAAAATTCCTAATCCCCAAAAGGCCGGTAATGCACTTGCAAGGCTTCAGGTGTTCCAGGTGTCCATTGGCGACGTATATTCTATAGAAAACTATACAAATAAACTCTCTAAACAATTGACAAGTTTCTAATTTTACTGTGTGGAAGATTTTGTTTTATACATTAATGTTGAGATGAAAGTAAAAAAAAAAAACAAGAAAAACAGATATGGACGCTCGCTAAGACAGTAAAATCGTTATCTTGAAAATAGAATAGACAAAATATGTCTAGATGTCTGCCTAGATCCCAAAGGTATTATAAATTATATTGTTCGTAAAATCTCAGTGGAATGCAAGTTTTAGTACTTCGAAAATCTTTAGGTTTTTGAAAACTGTGAAGTATTCAAGTTGTTTGGCGTGACATTGATTTAATTTCGTGTTGATTCATATAATAAACCTCTGACTTGACTACAGCGATAAAGTTTTTTTTTATGGCACAAGCCGGTAAACGAGCAGACGTTACACCTGATGGTAAGCAATCGGCGTCTCCCATGGACACCTGGAACACCGGAGGCGTTACAAGTGCGTTACCGGCCTTTTGGGGATTGGAAGTTTGAGGATCGTTGGGGATTCAGGAATTGGAGAAATTGGGGATGGGGAGGGTAATGGGGCCTCCGGTAACCTCACTCACACGACGAAACACAACGCAAGCGTTGCTTCACGTCGTTCTGTGAAGCCGTGGTATCGCTCCGGTCGAGCCGGCCCATTCATGCCGAAGCATGACTCTCCCACACTTAAACTTAGTTTGTGGGACAAGGTTCCAAATACCCATCATATTTAGTTTTGAAATAACAATTTTTGGAAATCAAACTGCATGTCATTCTGCAGTAGCCTTTCGTCCAGTCGCTTCGTTAACGATGTAGCTTTTATATGTCATATTATGTTCAAGGTACTGTAACACATGCAAATTTCAAGCACCAAAGCACTTGTCACTTAGTAGCATGTGTCTAATATTTTGAATTATCTAACTTACGGACTAATTATATTTTTAATTTTCGCACCCTGTCATCAACCCAATTAGCGTACTCATTTTAGTAGGAGATCCCGCCTTGCAAAATCCTACTATCAATTTACCTGTTTAGACCTTGCAACCCGAGAGTTATGACTGGAATATAATAGGCAACCTAACGTTTCCATATTCTATGGGCTTCATACTTTCGATTGAAATGGAATTTGTTTAATAGTCAAACCGGTGAAACATTTCAAAATTTTTTTTTAAAATTATTAATTAGTCATGTTCTGGACTGAAATTTATTAGGCAACCCATATGCAATTTATTTATTGACATATCAATACATAGTATAAAACAAAGTCGCTTTCGCTGTATGTCCGTATGTATGCTTAGATCTTTAAAACTACGCAACGGATTTTGATGCGGTTTTTTTTAATAGATAGAGTGATTCTTAAGGAAGGTTTGTACGTATAATACATGCATATTGCACCCGTGCGAAGCCGGGGCGGGTCGCTAGTTAAATATAAAATACGTTTCGTGAAATAAACATCTCGGTGAAGGTCGTTTTATATCGGGATCTTAGACCATTTCAGGCGTGTTTACGAATCGACACGCGTTCGATTTTTGAATATTTTTGAGCATGCTCATTGCTCAATAACTAGTACACATTAGAATGCTATTTTAAACCATGTGTAGCAGTACCTATAGTCTAGTATCAGTAACTAGTAATCTAAACCGTCTGTAACTTAAAAATTAAATGAATTGATTACATTGAGATGAAGTTGTCTAATTGCCGAATTATTTTTTAATGTTCTACTACTCTACTCATGTGTATCTGTTTAAGTATTAACATTTTAATATTGTCAACAGACAAGCAAGTGGAATGGATGTTGTCTAGAGACATACAGCTGGCCTTCATGGAAGCTACGGAACATCTAGCTAAAGTCTGCGACTTGCCTCCAAGGATCATGTCCATACCAGTCACCGTAAGTATTCTTTATAAGTTATATAATAAGTAGTTTGAGTCTACATAACATTATTATGTGTCGTGGCGGCCCGGAGGTTTAAGACACCCGCTTCTCATGCATGAGGGTGCGGGTTCGAAACCTACCAACGGCAAGTACCAATGTCACTGGTATCACAAAACATCGTGAAGAAACCTGAGCTTATAATTTGTAATTATAAGTTTGAAATCGCCAACCCTCATTGAGCAAGCGTGGTGATTAATGCTAAAACCTTCTCCGTGTGAGAAGAGGCTTTGCTCAACAGTAGGCATTATGGGCTGTTAATGTGACATAATATTAATGTAGTAATGTATTATTATTTATAAAAAAAAAAAAACGTTCCGCACATTAGTATTTTCTCCTGTGTCGTGTGTGCATTTAAGTACAAATACACAAGTTCACACACACATGACACCCAGACCCGGAACAACAATTTGTGGATCACACAAAGAGTTACTCCGTGCGGTAATCGAACCCGTTACACGTTACCAGCCACCATGCCAACCGTGCAGTAAAAAAATTTCAGGTCATTATCCTTCTAAGGACCTAAAGAAAAACGCCATATTGGTCTCATATTACATTGGAACAGAACTTATCTGAATTAATAATAAAAAAAAACGATTTACTCACATCAGTATACTGACCGTTACCCTTAATTTTAATAAAACTCAAAAACTCAAAAGCATTTATTTCAATTATACCATAATTTGGTACTTTTGAAACGTCAACAAATATGAAATAAATAATAGTCTGTCAGTCTGTCCGTCAGTAAAGGTAGGCGCTCGTTCCAAAATGTCGATTCGAGTGGAGAAGAACGAGCAAGAAACTTCATTCGTTACTCTTTTAAAAAAAAGTCTGTTTTACGCTGCTCTGATACATATAATATGTTTACAAATTTCATTTTAAAAATATGACTTAAGTATCTGGCGAAATAGAGAGTCTGACACTCCCTCACGCGGGCGAAAGAAGCCATTGGGTGATTTTCCCCTTCAAAAAAGTTCATTTCTATCTAGTCCAGTTACTTCTTCAACGAATATAAGGTGTTATACTTGTTATTGTATTTCTTATCTTCAGCTTCTCTTTCATTATCAGATCCGAATGTATCTACCATATCTACTAATTCTCCACAAAACACTATGAACCATAAAGCAACCTTCATTAGCATTAAGTTTATACAAACTGACGGACAAGTTATCCAGACATTAATCTATCCAGATTTAGTTCTAGACCGAGCTACGGATGTCTAAACCGTCTAGTCTAGACAGATGTAGATTTAAATTTACGAGGCTAATCTGATTGGCCTGGTTGTGTAGTTTGTAACTAAGTATTGTATGGCTTACTATTTCTGTGAGTGATATGTAGGTAACTACATATATTACAGTGTCTGTCGTTTGCTATGAGACGATGTGCTATTTTTTTTTCTATGGTAACCGAGTCGATGTGCTTTTACTGCGAAAAATGAAAAGGTACTTAATATGTTGCTTGATACAGGAATCTCACTAAATACTTTAATCATGGCGATTGGCGAGTTGTTGAGTGCCGATGACAATCGAGGCATCAATGAGCCATTAGTTTTTGTATTTGTATTTGACAAAAACTTTGCCCCACGCTAGTTCTTCTGTGTCGTGGGTGCGTTTACAAATACACATGACACCCAGACTCGGAAAAATAATCTGTGGATCACAAAATTCGAACCTGCGAGATGTTGCGTGGCAGCCAGTTGCCCAGCCACCCCGCCAACAGTGCAATCGATTTTAGATATAAATAACAAATATTAAATTATGTTTCAGTTCAACAAACCAGTTTATGGTTTGGAGGTACCCAACTTGACTGACTTCGCTGGACCTGGTGTTATTTTAACGTAAGTAGATTATCATAATGACAAAGAAAGAGAGGTGCCGAATGCGGTGCCTCGACCAGTGTAATACCACGGCTTCATCGAAAACCTTCGTGAACCAACGCTTGCGTTGTATTTTGTATAGGTAATATGGAATTTGATAAATTTACTG